CCATTTTGAAGGAAATCAATCCTGAGTGCTCACTGGAAGGACAGTTGCTGAAGCTGAGGCCCCAATACTTTGGCCATCTCATGAGAAGAGAAGACTCCTTGGAAAAGACCCTGATGTCAGGAAAGTGTGAAGGCAAGAGGAGAAAGGGACGACAGAGGAGAAGATGGTTGGACAGTGTCATCGAAGGTACCAACATGAATTTGACCGAACTCCGGGAGGCATTGGAAGACGGGAGGGCCTGGCGTGCTCTGGTCCATGGAGTCACAAAGAGTCGGATACCACTTAACAACTATACAAAACAAAACAAAAATATAATCAAAAAAGAGAGAGATGAAGAACATCATATTTGTTTATAGCAAAACAACAACATTAAGCTATGGAAAGAACAGCCACTTACCAGAGTCAGCCATGACATAGAGGTAGACTTCATAGGATGCTCCCGTTGACATCAAAGCATCAAAGATACAGAAAGGTTTCTCTAAAGCAATTGTTGTGAGAGTCGGATTGTTTGTGGCAAATCTGGCATTTGCAATTCGTGGTCGCAAAGTCTGAGCTATTGGACAGGAGGAAAAAAAGGTATTTTCCCAGCATTTTTAGAATAAACAGACAAAATTGTTTCAACTGTCCAAGAAAGGTAGATGGCAATGTATAGAAATACTACGGGGCAGGCACTGGACTAGCACCTGCACCTGCTCTATGACTAGGCAAAGTTTAGTTGAGTTGGATCACTTATTATGGGAGGCATGGGTGGCCTGCCAACCAAGCCAGGGTGAGAGCCTCTCCCTACCATTTTGGAGCAAGTCCCCAAACCCCTCAGTCCATGAGGTGCCAAGAATGAGAGGCACACATTCTTCAATACAGATGCATGTTGCAGATAACAAGTACACTATAGCAAGTCTTAAATCTCTTTTACAATCTGTGTGTGTTTTTATATATTCAGTTTTTAGGAACTACACAACAGATGACCATGCTGCTTTTCAGATCCATTCATCAGCTTTCTTCTGCCTGGATAGCACCCCTTCCTGGTTCTTAAGAATGTCAGAGTTTAAATATTGGTTGATATTTGTTGCAAAAAAAGGGGGTGTGCAGGGTTGCAGAGGAGAGCTGTCCATTATGAGCACACAGTACCCCCTTCTTCATAATATCCCCGGTCAAGCACCCCAGAGCCAAACTGATTGTTAAGAGTTAAACAGCAGTACACTCAGTTGTTGGAAATGAATTCTGTTCAAGAACTGTGCTTAGTGCACACTGGGGTAACCAGCTGCAATTAAAGACAGGTCTCCTGTACCATCGGTAATTGTGTAGATAAGAAGTCTGGAACTCTCCAATTCCTTCTGAAACCAGCAAATAGCTTGAGGGCATGCCTGCAGTATTTGTGTTAAACCAGCCTTTACACAAGCACATTTCAGCAACTACGGTAGTAGCTTCTCCCATAGATGTGCAAGTACAGTTACTGTGGTGCCAATGATTTTTTTTAAATGCAATTGCTCTCGGGCAGTAATCATGATCCTTTTCTGATATGGACCTTGGGTCAAAATAAACATTTGGGAACCTAGTTCTTAATTGTTTGCCATATGAATCTGCTGTGGTGTGATGAGGCTCACTGAAGCCATGTGAGATTAGTTTGCAACCCAGCTGTGAGTCCTGAGCCTTTCATCTGAAGGAGGATACTCTAAGCAGCTGCGTGCCTATAGCCAGGCATCTCCAGAAACACAACACTTACGATACCTTATACAGGAGGCTACCAGACAGAGCACACAAGCAAGCCCCCAAAGTCAACTTCTGCTTTTCCTGCATAAATCGCTCTTGCAAAGCTAGTCCTTGCAGTACTGGGATCATCGTCATCTAAATTGCAGGATTACTATAGGAGTAACAAAATACATACAATGTGCTCTGGATATTCAAAAGGACTGTATGTATATATATATATTGTTAATATCTATTCTGTTCTTTGTGGCAGAGTTTTCATATTTGCATATCCCTGCAAAAGGGACGTTCATCTACATTGCCATTTGTAGGAGTCTGAGACATTACAACCACCACAACCAATTCGTGTTGATTTAAATTATCATTTAAGAGTTCTTGCATACATGCACCTTTGGCTGAGAATGCAATTCTCCGTCCACCAGGGAAGTAAGGAGCAGGCTAAACATCTCATGCAGCTTTTGCACAGAAGCATGTCCTACTGAATTTGAATAGAGCCCAGCATTAATCGGGCAGCATATAAAGAAAAGAAAAGGTCTACTGAACAGCTCCAGCTGCTAATGAAAACTGCTACAGTATTTTAGTTGCACACAGAGGAAATGTCAGCACAAGCTGCTTGTCATAAAAGAGTGGAATAATACCCCCACCCCAGCGCTACTGTGTAATTATTACATGTGCACAACTTTTACATATCTTTCAGGAAAGATCAATGCTAAACTGAAGACCACCATTAGTACCAGAAACTACTGCAGCAGCTTGTGCTACTAATCACTCTTGAAATACTTTGGCATTGTAAGAACTGAAGGCAAGTACTAAAATAGGTGGTGTGACACTGTTAAAAGCTGATAGTAAATATTACTATCAAGCATCAGACAGCACAAAACTATGAAAAATGTGTCTGAAAAGAAGCATTAATTAACCAAATTTATTAAGCATTTAGATTAATAATAAAGGATGCAATCAGAAAATCTGTAATTATTATTTGGGAATATGTCCTACGGGTATAGCATATTAAATCCAAGCCTTCAGAAATTATAATGAAGAGAGCAAGCTCCTAGACAAGAAGGAGTTAGAAGCACAAATACATTAACATAAACAGTAGAATATTGAGGTTATCCTAACACCATTGCATTCCCTTGTTTTGCATATCCATAGAATGTGTAGCAAATACGACGGGAGATGCTTTACTGACTGTGGGGAAACAGGCAGACCAGACACTTACTTGAAAGCAAACCTTCTTAAACTCAAGGAGGCTTGAACCAAAGAAGCGTCACATATGACTCTTTTTCTGAAGGAGGAAGCATCTTCCATTTTACATTCCAGAAAAGGAAAAATTCACATAGAAGAAACATTTCCAAGAAGGACCTACTAAAACAATGGTGTAGTAAAAATAGTAGTATCATGCAGCTCAGACTCTCAATAGCACTGACTTACCCAGACATAGCTGCCACCAACAGCAAAATGTTAACCCAATCCAGTGGCCTCCCATAATCTAACAATATAAGAACTCCCAGTGAGGCTATCCCCAACTTCAGATATGCCACAGAGTATCTCCTCCTACCCCCTCCCTTCCCTATAACATCTGCTACACCTTCCACTAACAGAGTTGTTCTCAAATCCACTAATTAGCTACTGATGTTCTGCTCCCTACCAAGCCTGCTCCTGTGTACCTGTCCTTTTCCTGGTTTACACTTCCTATGTTATCATCTGCATCTAATTGAGGCAGGGTGGTGGTGGTGGTGGTGGGGGAGAGGCAGTGACTGGACCCAGCATTAGCAAATGCCATTCTTTCTTTCTCACACTTGTAGGAAACAATAATCATTTCTGAAAGTTGCTCAGCAGGAAGTCAGTGAAATCTATTCGTTTGGAAGGCTATTTATTTTCCCGTGGGAACCAGCAACTTCTCCTAAAGTTCAGAGCCAAACCAACTTTAATAAGAGATATTAGACAATGAAAACATACATAAATCAGGAAGGAAAACAGCACTCCGAATTTTGTCTTCCCTCCCTCTCACATGTACCACTGTCAAGAGTTCCTGTGGTGTAGGAATAGGAATATCAGGCAAAAACAAAAGAAAATTTTTAAAAAGGACAGAAGTGTTGTGACAGGCAAAAACAAAAGAAAAATTTAAAAAAAGACAGAAGTGTTGTGGCACCTAAAAGACTACTATATTTTAATCTAAACTTTCATGGACCTTCTTAAACCCACTTTCTCAGACATATGAGATGGAAAACAGGGATTAACACTGTAAAACATTAATGCTGAATCTTAAGAGTCGGGGTATCTGCCTGCATTTCACAAGTGACCTCTGTTTGGTTTTCAGTTCTGTAAAGGAATAGGAAATCACTGTTGATTTCTAGGCAAATTGCTAACCCTTACAGAGACTCAGTTGTTGTTGTTAATCCCCTTTGTTGTTGTTGTTGTCGTCGTCATCATCATGCTTAGACTGGATAATAATGGCATAATCTTTAGTTGTGTTGTTGTTGTTGTTGTTGTTGTTGTTGTTGTTGTTGTTGTTGTTGTTGTTGTTGTTGTTGTCATCGTCGTCGTCGTCATGCTTAGACTGGATAATAATGCCATAATCTTTAGAATAAAATAAATCCTTATTACTTTTGTTGTTACTATTGCTATACAGCCAATAAGCTTGTTTAGTGTTTGCCTCACATATTCTCATCAGAGGTGAGGTCATGGCTCACATTTAGACAACTGCATTAACGGACAGTGAAACGAAATTAGGGTTGCCAGGGGTCTTTTACTTCTACTGTTTCCGACTGTTCCACAGATAACTAAATGGCTGGAGTTTAACAATGGCACTTCTGTCACTACATCTCCACACTGGGAAAACTGGTTGTATTCCATGCTAATCACATATGGATGGGTGAGAGAATTTCTATGATCTCAAACTTGTTAATATGGCAGACATCAATACATCTGGTATAGTAACAGCCAATGCTTGCCAATAGCACTTTTGAGTGCAGACTAGACATGGGGGGGCTTCATATTCATATACAAATACAAAACTCACCAGCACAGGTGGCCAGCCCAATTACCACTCACCCCCAAACCCTGCCAGACCACTTACCACACAGTGTGTAGTGCACATGGGCAGTGTCATTTCCTGAGACCCTATCACAGCAGTAGCCTGGCTGCTACAGCCCCGCCTCCCTGCTTGCCCAGCCACTCTGCACCTGAACAGGCAGATGACTCCTCCCACCCTCCT